AGTTTGCGACAAAAAAAAAAGTGCAAACTGGTATGAAGCAGCAATCAGGGAGCTCCTCACTATCCATGCTGAAGCGAAGATCGTTCGCCAGCTTAGTGGAACGGTACGCGTCACATTACACATCGTAATGTCACGTGTCTTTACAATCACTGGCAGTGTGAATGAACCAAAATCAAACGATCCCAGGACAAATCACGGAACACATTATCCGTGTATTTTCCGGAAACTCTGTGTGAAAGGGGCTTAAAAAGCCAAGCGGCTCACTGAAGTGAGGCCTTTTCTGTGGAGGTCACACCTCTCGGGGGTCAAAGAGCCAATGGTGACTTGCACTTCTGGAGGGAAAGTTTATGACTCTTTGTCTTAGAATATGGTATTTTGCATACGTAATTGGATGGGGTGTTGATGCCAAAACTGTTAAAGTTTCTTAGAACACTAGCATGTTGCATGGGTATCAACATATAATATACACTCTCAATTAGATCATCCGAAGACTAATTCATAGAGACCAAACATGGTATAAGTCAGGTGACATTAACTAGTGATCTATCATAAGCATGCATAAAACAGTATACAACCATATAGACCAGTGGTTCCCAACCCTGGGGGGGATTCTCTCTACATACTTATAGGTCGTAAAGTTTATCTGATCTGGCTGAGATGTCCTGGTTGCCATGGTAACCAGGGGCCTGGAGATCGTTCACAGAAATGCTGGCACCGAGTCTGGTCAATCTAAAATCTGGTAAATCTAACGAACAATTGTGTGTCTGATTGGTCCAAATGCTACAACTGTCATTGATACCTGCGAGTGAGACAAAACATGTCCCAAAAAATTCCCCATCTTCATTATGTAAAACAGGAACAGTACTAGCGTTTGAAATGAATCAGAGATGATCATTAGTATGTTTTCAAATCAAATGTACCAAAATAACATTACCACGCACTACATCTATAAAGACAGCTGTCCTTAACTCAGTACTTCATAGTAGTGTTGTCAAATGTTCAAAGTCAGTATTTTAGTTGAAAGTTTTAAAATGTCAAAAGAGTTTATGTTTGAGCTCTGCATGCTTGCAACATAACCAACAAAGTGTAAACACAATGTAGAATAAGAGAATAAGGCATTCATGTGTAGTCAGTTTCACAGATTATTGGGAGTATTATATCTGAGTGCAGAGATCAGTCAATGAACTTAAAGTGAACAGAAGTAATTGACAGGTTTCAGTAACTATAAAGGCAGCGCTCTTAACTCGCCTTCTGTATATAATCCATTCACAATTTGGAGTTTTATTTTTCATCCAATCTGAAATTGTGATGATACATCAATAACTACAGACAAAAAAAAACAAAAAAACTGATGTCAAAATGTATCTGTGCATTAAGTCTTGGAGTGTAAATGTAGACAAATGGGCTACATGATGATGTTTTTTTTATTGATTGATTGATTGCACTGATTAATAACTTTAATATTTTGTATTTTCACAGTTAAAAAAATAGCTAAAAAGGTATAGTTTTTACTATAGTGCCGAAACTGGTTATGAACATTACTACTATGTCCTCCTGACAGTAAGGAACAGGTTAAAATATCTTGGCGTTTTGAAATAAGTATGGGGTTGTTAACATTTAAAAAAAAAAAAAATTAATAAATAGTTTTATAAGTGTCTTATGCTCACCAAGGCTGCATTTATTTGATCAAAAATACAGTGAAAACAGTATTATTGTGCATATAAGTTTTAATAACTTTAAAATATATATATATGTATCTTAAAATAGAATTTATTCTCTTGATGCCAAGCTGAATCCCACCCCTAGGGATGGGTTACGATTGTCAGCTACAGTAATTGTCCAACCACCAAGTAGTCGACTGGCAAAAAACAGATAGTTTTAATGTTTTTCTTGCGTTTGTTCCGATATCTCTAATGCCTGCTGTGCTTAAACAGTAAAACCCTTCCGGACAAGAGAGTTGCATCTGTACATTTATGCCCTGTAAAGCACAGATAAAAGCCGGAAACAGCTGCTGCATTCCCTTTTTTTAACACCATGTCTTACACCATGAGGATTGCACTTTTAAGGTGTGCATATAGAAAGTTAAAAATAATTCCACTTTTGAAAAATCATGTTGAGACCCCTGCATTCTCTTCATCCAGCCGTTACTGAACACAAGAACACGTCTAATGTGACGATGCCCTAAGAAAAGGGCTCAGATGAAACGAAATTCCATATGGTCTTGCAAAATTACTTATTTTCAATCTACTAGTTGGCTGCCTAAATGACTAGTCAGTTTTGAAAATCTGTAGTTTTGTACACTTCGTGCAGAACAGAAACACCTGCTCATGCCACATCTCAGAATCAGTGCGCTGCAAACGCAGAGTTGAAGCACAGTTCAGAGGGGATGAAGCAGACACACGATCGAGAGGGTCTCTGGTTACCCAAACACAGCGAGAACTGAGTGGCCCTCTTGACCTTTAGACATCCTGAAACAAAAGGAAGCTCTGTCCTCACAGAGCCTGGCATCACCTCACATCCCAGACAAAAAAAAGTTAAAGCCTGAAACAGAGAGAGATGAAAAGGTGGAGAGAGGAAGAGAAAGGAAAGGCATGCATGAGAGGAAATGGGAACTAGAGAAAGAAACAAAGACATTGTGAAGAAACAGGAGACAGAAAGAGAGTGAAAATGTAAGAAGAAAAAGGGAAGGGGGAAGCACCGGACAGAAAGCGGTATGGCACATGGAATCAATTCCTCTGCTTGCAAAACTAAAAACGTCCAACATGCTTACGAAAATCTGTGCAATCCTCAAAGTGCAAAGTGCAGTGAAAAAAGTGCAATCCTCATTAAAACATACCCAGTTTACTATGGTAAAATGCACATTTTTAATTACTTGCTCTGAAGTATCGGTTTCTTAAAGTTTTGATCACTAGTGTAATGTTCAAGTGTAACCTTCATAAAACAGGGTGGGCAAGAAATACAATGCAGCACCTTTGTGCAATAGCAAACTATTGGTTGACACTTTACAATAAGCTTCCATTTAACGTTAGTTAACGATATTAATATAACATGAACTAACAATGCACAATATTTCTACACGATATTTCTAAAGCATTGACTAATCTTAATTTCTAATTAACATTAGGACCTGAGCTAACACAAGCTAACAATGAAGCTAGATTTTTATTAACAAATGTTAACAAAGATTAATAAATATAACAAATGTACATTGTTAACATTATTGAAGGCATTAACTACCGTTAACTAAAGAAAGTTTATTATAAAGTGTTACCTTAGTCTTCTTAAACACGCGGATGATCTCATGATCAAGACTCTCTGTCTGCTTGTGTTTAAAGGAGAGTAATCGAGTAACGTAGACATGTTTTACACAGTTTAGTGTAAAGAACAGTATCTAGCACATTTATGTGTTTCTTTCTACAAAAGGCATATCAGTTTATCTAAAACACGGCGCCTGCGCTAATGTTGTTTCAAACACATTTGGCTCAGAGGTTTTATCACGGTGTCTGGTGTCATTTATCCGGATTGATTGCTAAGATTTTGCTTCGACTGGGATATTCAATTTATACGTTTAAAGAATCGATTGATTGATATTTGTTTCACTATTTTCAAATTCAACTCTACAAACATGCCAATCTTTTCCTTACGTCATAAAGATAACATTGTGGGACTAACAGAAACTGGCGAATCATTATTTGGACAAGCGTGTGGTATGCACCTTTAGGAAGAAACTGCCTGCAGTTGACAATGAAAACTCACATTTAATCATTTTTAAACTAAATATATAAAGTTATAGGGCGACGACATTTAATATTAGCGTCTAATAAATTGCATCTATTTGGAAAATTAACAAGTTTTCATTAGGTAGGCCACAATTAGAAGAGGGTGGGCCCATGTCCATCTGGACCCAACCGTAACACCACTGCTCCACGAATGAATGCAATTATATCACAAGTCATCACAGGACACCAGGACTAAAGGTCAACTTGTGATTGGATTGCCAAAGGCTGATGTTAATATCAGGTATAAACAAGGCAAAAATCAAACCTTCAGACAGAGAAACAAGCTTCATCTGTGGTTTATAGTGATGACGAGAGGACCATACCTCAGGTTAAGAAAATATGATCATATTACCCCAATTTTACAGTCTCTGCACTGGCTACCTATTAAGTTCCATATCAGTTACAAAATATTATTACTTACCTATAAGGCCCTTAATGGGTTAGCTCCTGCATACCTAACTAGTCTTCTACCACGCTACAATCCATCACGCTCCCTAAGGTCGCAAAACTCTGGACTTTTGGTAGTACCTAGGATAGCAAAGTCCACTAAAGGAGGTAGAGCTTTTTCGCATCTGGCTCCCAAACTCTGGAATAGCCTTCTTGATAACGTTCGGGGTTCAGACACACTCTCTCTCTCGGTTTAAATCTAGATTAAAGACACATCTCTTTGGCCAAGCATTCGAATAATGCATCTCATAATCTTGTACTGCAGTTATATCTGATCAAATGCACATTTTAATTTTTTAACTTGGGTTGAAGACATCATCTTTACTTGGTTGGAACAGCAGCTACACTAAGTTTGTCTCTATTTGCTTCTCTGTTTCTGCCACGGGACTTGCATTCCCAGGTAACTAGTAATTACACAAGCTTCAGTCTGGATCCAACCCTTACGAAGATCTGAGATGACCGAACACATGAGAAGAGATGATGCCAACCCCCAGAAGACCTCAGATGATGCTAACCCTCAGACAACATACAAAACTACCAAATTTTGCTTAATCGCAACATATAATCATTGCAGTTAATAGTGTTCACCTTCTGTTTTATTACGTGTAATTTGTAACTATGCGCATGATTTTTACTGTACATTTCTACCCTAGTCACCACTAATAACCTACTCCTAAATATAATGTAGAAACTTAATATTTTCTGTAAAGCTGCTTTGCAACGATTGATATCGTGAGAAGCCCTATACAAATAAACTTGAATTGAATTGAATACCTTCCAGTTGGCCAACTGCTGCGACTCGATGATCTTGATGAACGCTCCCATCAGAATCCCTGAAAAACAAAAGCCAGATTCCAACTACACTCTGAAGAAGTAATTAGCTGCTATATGGATTATTAACAAAAGACTAGGTTGGATGAACCAAAGAGGAACAATATTTTGTAGTTTGTGACAAACATATATAAAGAGAAATCGTTCTTCTGTGATACATAAAAGAAAATATTTTGAGAAATGTCTCAGTGTTTCTTGTTCGTTGAACGGCAACCACATGTGACGACCCCGGGCTGGACTCTGCTTCGTCCACAGTGAAAGTTGATGTATTTCCTCAGCGACCAGCACGGATCAGCTCCAGGCATGACGAAGAGGATATCGTCCTCTTTTGGAAGACCAAACAAAGGAGTTTCGCTTTCACAATGAAACACACAGCGTCTTCAGGACATGGCGGCAGCAACAATACTACAGCGAGAATAAAAGTTACGCCTTCTTTCTTTGTGTGAACATTTGGGCAGCATTATGCAAATCTTCCCACATAGTGAAGTAGTTATGTGGGGGTGTGTTAGAACGAGCCGTTTTAGGTAGGCGTGGCTGACTCTTAACTTTTATAAAGAATATCTCTTTGGATTTGAGACTTTAGTCTTTGCAACTTTACAGATCTTCTTTATGCACCAAGAGCTTGTAACACTCCAAAGAGAAAGGAGATATTGAAATCACATCATATGACCCCTTTAACAAAATAAGAGAGATCATACAAAATGCAGGTTATTTTTTATTTAGTACTGTCCTGAGTAAGATATTTTACATAAAAGATGTTTACATTTAGTCCACAAGACAAAAAATAGCTGAAATTATTAAAATAACCCCATTCAAAAGTTTGGGAACCCTTGGTTCTTAATACTGTGTGTGGCTACCTGGATGATTAGATTTTGTGATGGTTGTTCATGAGTCCCTTGTTTGTTCTGAACAGTTAAACTGCCTGCTGTTCTTCAGAAAAATCCTCCAGCTCCTGCAGATTCTTCAGTTTTCCAGCATCTTCTACATATTTGAACCCTTTCCAACTGTGACTGTATGATTTTGAGATCCATCTTTTCACACTGAGGACAATTGAGGGACTCAAACACAACTATTAAAAAAGGTTCAAACATTCACTGATGCTCCAGAAGGAAACACGATGCATTAAGAGCAGAACTTTTTGAATTTGAAGATCAATTGTACTTAATTTGTCTTCCGGGAAACATGCAAGTATCTTCTGTTGCTTC